CAGCTGTGGATGAATCGAAAGCTTTTACAGTACTTCAGCTGGGACTTTTTAAGGTTTCTGGTTACTGATATTTTATCATTTTATGTAACATTACCCGGACCACACAGCTGACTGTAAATGAATAAAAATCTGTACTGTGTGCATTGCTAAAGCAATTTTTTCAGTCTCCTTAATTTTGTCTGAAATCTACAGAGAAATTAACGTTTGCTAAACTCATCTAAACCTAAATTTAGACCTTGCAGCAGGAGAATACTACAGTATCTCATAGTGGAGTGAGAATTAGTTGATGTTTGAATGGAACTATTGAATCATGCAGGCGTTTCCTACTGGACTGTATGAAACGCCTGGTGCAGTGCACAGCTCACTTCTCAAGGAAATACAATGAAATCAGGGAGAAATATTAAAGATAGCATTATACTCTGCTGATGTTTGTGCCTATTGATAACACAGTTTTCTGTGATAATGAATAAATGAATTATTTCACATTTTCCTTTTCACAGACATTGCTCATTTTTTTCAATTTAATTAATTCTATTTGTTCTTTGTCTCTGGCTGTCACACACCGATTCACCTCAGCTGAAACTGAGGGAGAATATGAATGAGCCGCATGTTTTCTAACAGCTCTTTTGAGGAACCTTGCAGTGAGAAGTGCCTCTTGGTCTGACAATTGCAAGCACATAAACCCAGAGGAATGTTTCCATGCCAACAGTGTGCTGTAACATTTTCACTTCACTTATTTTCCCTATAATCTAGGAGATGGATAGGAGACCTCTTCGATGTACCTGGCAGTTAGTCAGAGCAGCACTGAGACTTTGGGTCCCAAGCTATCACACAAGCTCTCCCTTCTGATTTCCTTTGACTAGTGTTTTATTCAGGTTCGCTTTCAATGTTACGATGTGGTTGTAACGATAGTAATATACACACAGTAATATATTTATAAGGGAGCATGTACATGCTTGACATGCAAGAGTGCACTCTGAGTCAGTCAGAACCACAAACAATTGGTTTTCCCTACATGTACTTCAACACTACAATGTATCTGTCACTTAGGGAAAATAAAAGTAGAGTGTACGTCTTACCACCGAACCCACTAAACTGTCTGCTTTTGATATCCTCACAGTGTACAGTAACACACAACCATCCAGCTACCAGTATTCTATAATGTGTTTACCACCATTAAAGTCCTACCTGTTCACTGAAACCACCAGGTCTCTGTTGTCTCTGTGTCTGCACCTGGTCTTCAGTAAAAATACAAACCAACACAAAAAATTTAATCATTACTATTAAAGTAACTTATGTGTCATATCTAAAATTAATTCATGCATTCATCTCATCACGGCTTGATTACTGTAATTCCTTGTACACAGGAATTCGCCTTTCTTTACTGTCCTGTTTGTAGCTCATTCAAAATGCTGCTGCTAGGCTCCTAACAGGAGCATCTAAATATACTTGAGTCTGTCCACTGGCTCCCAGTTCAATTCTGAATTGATTTTAAGTTTTTATTGTTTGTTTTTCAGGCCCTGCATGGGTTAGCTCCATTGTACCTCTCTGAGTATTTGCATCTCCACACTCCTTGCAGGGCGCTAAGGTCTTCAAACCATTATTCTGAGGTCTACACTGGAACTTAGAGGAGACTGTACCTTTGCTGTCATGGGTCCCAAGCTGTGGAACAGCTTACCATTACACATCCAACATTGGAAATGTTAGTCTCGCCTAAAACCCGTTTTTAATTCTTTGGCTTTTAACAATTTTAATTTTGTCAGGAATAAAACATCACCGATTGTGTGGCTTACTGGTGTTTTGTTTTGTTTTTTGTCAACAATGGAGTTCTCCAGCACATAAAAATAAGCTGGGTTTCTGGATTCACATTATATCGAGTACACAAAATTCATTGATGGTTTAAGTGTCTGTATTTGTGGAAAATAGCCAAAAATTTGAACATTTAAAACTCCACAGCTCATTTTATTTTTAAATTTTAAGCATGTATTAAGACTGATAATTGGTGACTGGTCAGGGGGAAAAAAGTTGATCAGCTAAAGACTTCAATATCTTCTCAAACTGGAACCTTAAACTTACATTTGTCAAGTGGTAAGAATCATAACTCTCAATAAATGCTAGTGTTGCTACATGTCTGCTGGGCATGTAAATAGGCAAGTGTTTGTTTGCACGTAAACCATTAGAGCTTAAGGTGAAAATCTGTGAGGACTGCTGAGGAGCTCTACTGCCCCCATGTGGCTGAAAAAAATCAACCAATGCTGCTTACAAATATTCCATTGATTTTCATTTTCATACAAAATGACATCTTGTTTGTTTTACAAAAGAGCCAGGACATATGTCATTATTTCCATCCAGATGGCTCAGTAGTTTTTCTGGACTCTGGAAATTAATTTATTTATTTTTATTTGATTTATTTTTAACGACATTAGTCGCTCTGTGAATGGAATGTAACAGAGCTGCATGAGAGGCACAAACTGGTGCTACATTTCACCGGCAAACTGGTATGACCACACAAAGGCACTGAACATGAAAGAGCCTTCTTGAGAAGGCTCAGGTTGGATAAGACAGAATTTCCAACATAGTTGTCTTGGCAGTGGTTTAAAGGGGACAGAATAACAAGAGCGTTAATACACCAATGTTAAAAAAAAGAAACTGAACATCAAAGGCAACAGCTTCCACCCACTTCCACAGTGGACTGATGCAACATGCAGCTCCCTCTGTCCAAAGAGCCCCAGCCACTGTCAGCCTGTGTTAAAGCACTGTGCCGCACACAAAATCTTCTTCACGTCAATAGTGCTCACAATATGCACATTTATAGGCCTACACATTTGATGTAGACAATCCTCCATCTTACAATGCATATACGCCTTAAAGTTTGCTGCACATAAGCTGCTGGTTTTGATGGTATAACACACGCATTAAGTATTTTAAAGAGTTAAAACTGTAAATGCTGAATGTCATTTTTTTCCCTGGTTGATTCATTAATGCCTGTGTATATTTGCCACTGACATGTTCAGTTTGTACATACAGATGGGTGACAAATGAAAGGAAAATCCAACATAGCGTCTTCAGAGGGTGTTGAGCCACCAGAACAGCTTCACTGTACCTTGGCATTGATTCTGCAAGTCTCTGAACTCTGCCGGAGGGGTAAACACCATTCTTCCAAAAGATATTCTCTCATTTGGTGTTTTCATGATGATGGTGGAGACACGAACACGTCCACCATGGGTGTTCAACTGGGTTGAGATCTGGTGACTGTGAAGGCCACAGTATGATTCATTCATTTTTATACTAAAAACCACTGAGGGACCCCTCATGCCATATAGATGGGGGGAATCCTGGAGGAGAGCTGGAAGTGACCTTAAAGCCCCCTGAAGCAAATATGTGATTTGTGATATTGGGCCTCATAAATAAAATTTGACTTGATCAGATTTTCTGTTCCTCATTTCGAAATTTTGCACATTTCCATTCCTATCCCTCTCCACAGCATGCAGGTTGTGTGTTATGACATTCACTTTGTTGTGATTTTAAACAGGACTTTGCCAAACATGACTCGTTTGTTGCCTTGGAATAAATAAGACCAATCTTGAAACCTCCAGCTGATATGTCAGCAAAGTGCAAGGCATGATCCAAATTTACAACACCGATTCTGTATGAAACAAATGCTTCAGTTGCATTTCTACAACACACTACCACATGTACCCCATTAAAATGTTTCAAGCTCTTTAGAATTAAAATTTGATAACTACTTAATATGGGGTAAAGGGCTGCTTATCTACATATGATGAATGCTGAAGAATACACAAACAGCATGTCCTGCTATGCAGCTGGTATTGAATCATCAATGTGATTTTGCTGCCATCTAGTGGTTCACGGGTAGCTATTTGCTTTTAAGATATTGGACAAAATACAGTATATGGCCAAACTCCTCATGCGGATCAGTAGGTCTGCACAGATCCTCAGCTGCCACGGTGCCTGCTTGCACTGAGCTTACTCAATACTCAAGTTTGGTAACCAAAGACAAGACAATTACTCACGCTACAGGAGACCTATCACATTTCATTAATTTTGAACGATCAATATCTCAGCGTGTTACCAATTCTTGGATGTGAGGGAGGCATGCCATTTTATGTGAATACATGCTGACTTGGAAATTAGTCTTTGTAACAGTGAAGATCATTAGCTGCTCTGCTATTTATTATGATCCATTGTACTACTTCAATACTTACATAAATTCTCAGCAAGTGTCCCTTTTAGGGTAATTAGGAAATGTGATGCCTTGATTACACAAAAATAAAAAAGATTCAATTGATTCTTCACGAGATATAAAGGTATGGGAGATTTTCTGATTGTTCTACATTGAGAGACATTCAGATATTTCCTTTTAGTATCCAACACCCCCATCTTTTTAAACCAGCGTATACATCTCCCCATTCCTCTAAAGGCATCCATTGGTATTGATGGCAAAGTGCTAGAGCCATCAAAAGTAACATTTCATACTAAATCATAATCTGTTAAATTAAACATTTAAATTCCACAAATGCATTTCAGCAGCACCTTTGTTGTCTAATGTCTTCCTTTTTGGATTATTATTGTAATGTTGAAACAGAAGTCTCAAGGACTGTTTCCAGCAACCTTATTTGCTGAACACCTTAGAAACCCCTGCACACCTGTACCACAATGCATAAACAGCTTATATCCACATGACATATGGTACCAAATGAAAAATCTCAAAGTTTCCTCTCAAGTGAAAACTCGGTAAGCTTTCCAAAATAACAGCCATACACTTGTTTCAGCATGAACTATAACATGGTCTGTTTGCTTATTACAAAACCAGCTGGCATGTGCATAAGGACTCGTAACAAACCTCCCTCTTGTTTATGTCATACTGTGCACCTTATTGATCCTTTCTCATGTTTCCTGCAAATCATCATCAAATTTTAAGAACATCTATTGGAGAGAATCAGAAAAAACCCAAGTCCACAAATAAACAGAGAGCTCAATCAAGTTAAACAAAAAAAGAACATTTATTTCTGTGCTGAATTATCCCATCTCGGTTGGCCTTCCAGAGATCACCGGAGCCATCTGAGGACATGTCAGCGCAAGACATCTAGTCCAGCTGTGTGAAAATGACCAAACCATTAGTTAACAGAGATACACTGGCAGCATTAATCCTCTTGATTCTCCAACCATTCATACAAACTGAGAATCACCTTATTCATGGGTGCATCGCTGTCATAACAATGAACCTGAATTCCTGCAATGATGTGCTACGAAACAACTCATGCATGCAAAGCTCGTTTTCAAGATAAAAATACTTATAAAAAATAAAACAGAACTGAAAGTATAAACAAATTAGAACTGCATTAGTAGAAATGTTGTGTACATGCGCCTCGTTGTTTACAGTGAGCCTTTACTAACAGTATGGTGTGATGCTATCAAATGTAATATAATCTGTTAAAACGGACAATACTTGCCTTGACGAAACCGATGTCTTTAGCGTACTGCCTGAAGCACTGGCGGCACATGTTGAGTCCGTATTTACGGATCAGACCGTGTCTGTTTGAGCATACCCGGCTGGAATAAACACAGGAAAAAATGGCTAAATGTTTCACCTTCACATGAAAGGGTAAACAGGACTATAGTTAACGCTACCGCTTGGGAGCTAATACTGTGTCAGAGCCGGTTATCACTGGTACAAAATGCTTTATGCATCACAGCTGATCTGAGCAGAGGCAGACATTTACTCAAATTAGCTTCAAAACCATTTATGCTTGCGATGCTACAAGAGAAAGTTTACTCCAACCACACCCATAAATCCCATTTGAAGGTGTTAAACTTTCTCTGGACAATCAACACAAGCAGTTTCGTACGCTAACACAGTGCTAATGCTGCTAAGTAACTTTACAGAATCCGCAACCGCCATATTAGCTCAGGATCAGCTCCCACGCGGTGCACGGTTACTAACAAATTATTGAGTACTGAAGATGATAAACGTCATAAAACTGACTTGCTTTAGCACACGTGGCGTTATCTGACACATTTAAGGTAAAACTGACCAGGATCGAGAACCCTGTCCGAATTTTCTGGGGTGACTCCAATAGAGCTGCTGATGGCCCATCTTGTCTTTCTCTTGCTCGAGTGTCGAAAGGAAGGAAAAAAAGGAGGCGCATGCGCAAATGAAACTTAGCAGATGTGTTTCCGGCTGAGTCGTTGTTTAGCGCCTCTTAGTGGGACCGTAAAGTGTAACATGCAGCGGCACAGACTGCAGTGGTGTACAGTAAACAGGTACTTTAGTTCATTTGTGGCACATATTGTAGCTCTTACGACTACATTTTTTTTAACTGACCAAACAAAGTACATTAAAGGAAGAAACTGCAGATTGAATATGACAAAAAAGTATTTTCTTACTTAATTTGGACCCATTTAGGCTAATATGTGTTTGACAAATTAAAAGCTTGTCATATTCTCTTTAAAAGACAAAGTTTTGTGCATCAATTAACAGTTATTTTCCAAATTGATTTAATATCAGAAGGCACGCCTGTATAGGCCTATATAATTGGTTAAAAACATCAAATAGACATAGCAATAAGTACAGTAAAGTTTATAAAACTGCTTAATCACAAGATATGAGCATTATTTTTCTGAAAATGTTGCTAAGAAGCTACACATAAATGGACAGGCTACATCTGGTTATGCATGAATTATATTTTGTGAATTATTTCATAAATTTTCAAATTCATATCAACAAACTTCTGTCACATCTGGAAAGTAATAGGACAAAAACACCTGAATAATGGGACAGCTCACCCACATTGTAGCACTCACAGTGAGTTAACAATGATTAAATTTCTTTTCCATGTCTTTTAAGTCCTATATTTAAATTAAAAAGCATTAGATACATTTTCAGTTGGATAAAGTTCTGATATTGTGGTTTCCAGCTAAGGGGGACAGTTGTTGTAGCCTAAATTCTGTTTTAAAGTGTATTTTCTCTGTTAATACATATGTATTTAAATATGAAGCCTTGGTGTGAACTTGCAAAGAACTTCAACGTAAAATAAACCTATCTCTGAGCTGACAGTGTGATCAGTCATCAGGACTACATGATGTTTATGGTGTCTCGGGTGCCCCAGGCGGACCAGTGCATTGTGGGACAGCGACAAGCAGCAGTGGTTCCTTATTTGAGATTTTTTTTTTTTTTTTAGAGCTAGCTGATAGTTGCGTTTCCATGCAGCCTGCTGGTGGAATGGACACAGCCCTGTTGATACTTGTCGCTGAAAGAACCGCACGATTACTCCGGCTTTAGGTAACTACTGGAGCCTAATTATGGTTGTTGTGGTTCGCCATGGACGCTGTTGTTGACGAGATCTGATCCGGACGGGCTGCTTGTAAGTTGCTAGCTGAAGCTAAGTTAATGATAGCATTATTAGGATGTTCGCTGTCATAAAAGAAGGAAGCGGAAAAAATAAGCGGTTATTTTCGTTTGCTATGAAGGCATTTTACACCAGCTGGCGAAATAACGGTAACGGCGTCTCATGTTGAAATCGATGCAAGCTGTCGCTGGCTCGGTGTGCCTGACAGGAAACCAACGGTAGTAGGCTTCAAGTGAAGCATTGCATATTTAACCGAGCAAGGAAACACGACAGCCACAGAACAGAGTGGTTTGGTTTATTCTAAATAAAGTGGATTAAGACGACAGATAAATGTTTCACTTCATTTGGCACCATTTTAGTTAAGAAACAACATGGAAAAGCAGGATCGTGCTTATTGCAAACGTATCAAATATATAGGTTGGATGGCTGTATCATTTATTTAGCCCAAAAGTGTTACCTTAAAAGTATACATCAAATGTTAATGTTTTTAGAAGCTATCGGGAGTGTATAATGATGTTACAGTCTCTAATGGCTACCAAATGCATAATAGTGCTCAACTGTAACCATTCAGTTGAAGTCTCAAGGCGGAGAGGAGAATGGGTCTGGTCGGAAGCCTTAGAGACCAGTAATTTAATAACAAATAAAAGATAGAGGATTGTTCAGATGCCAGCAAATCAATAGTAATAATGTAGTTACGATCAGAGATTTATGCAGGAGAATACGGATTGGTGGATCAATAACTAAAGGACTACTGTGAGGGGGACAACTTTGCAGCCCAGGCTAAAGCATGAATTAAGTCATGTCAATGATTTTAGTGATAAGACCACTGGCTTGACACTGTATGTAAAATTCAGTGAGATGCAATGAGACAGAACTCAAAAGGTATAAAATTTCAGTGTGAAAGCCAGACTGGTTTGTTGCCATTGTTCATTTGTCCTGGAATTGTTCCAGTTGTCAAACAACCTGTGACCTACATTATGTGTGGGCGTGGGACTCAATAAAAAGCTAATAAGTGGACCATCATTTTTTAAAACTCTTGTTGAAAAAAATAGTAGGAAAAAAGTACTGTAAAATAACATATCCATATTTCACAAGTTTTTGCAAATGTAAAGTTTGGTCTTGTTTAATGTGCAGCAGTGAAATACAGTGTACCTAGAACATCAGTTTTATTAATTCATGTCTGATTTTTGTCTCACTGTCAAATTTTGTATATTTAGAAAATGTTCCAGACATTGTGGTAATGGTTTATGCCCTTTGTTCTGATGTTATTTTTCATTCAGGTGGTTCATGCACTCTTCTACCCTGCGGCCTCCCAGCACCTGTCATGCCTTATGGAATATTCACCACCAATCACATTCCAGCAGGATCCATGTTTACAACAACAGTTTATTTTTCCAATAACTAACCTCACAGCCTATTTTTAATCAGGCTTAATTCCTGTACAAACCGTACAACCACAACAGCCAATCAAGTTCTCTTCCTTCGCAAAAGCCTGACCCCTTATCATGAGATTCCGAATCTACAAAAGGAAGGTGGTGATACTGACTCTGGTGGTTGTCATTTGTGGCCTAGGTTTCTGGAGCACTGGAAGGCAGAAAAAGAATGATAGTGGATCATTTCCCAAGGACATGGAGATGGTGAGGAGAAGCAGCAGTATTAGCAGCAGCAGTATTAGCATCAACAATGCTATACAGGTGCAAGCCACACCCGCAGTTAGCCGGGCACCTTTTCCACCTCCTATTATACAAGCAAATGATACACATCCAGGGAAGGCAAAGGATAAAGAGAAGGTACCCAAGCCAGATGTTGATAACACCACATTAGTCTACCGTGGTATCGTCTTCCAGCTAAACTTTGACCAGGCAATAAGAAATGAGGAGAAGTTTAAGACAGTGCGACAGAAGGATGATCTGGTTGTAGTGGTTCAAGTCCATAACCGGCCAGACTATCTCAAGTTGTTGGTGGACAGTTTGCGGAAGGCCAGAGGTATAGAGAGCATACTGCTGATATTCAGCCATGACCACTGGTCCCCTGAGATAAATAAAGTGGTGGCCTCTGTTGACTTCTGTCAAGTCCTACAGATCTTCTTCCCCTTCAGCATCCAGCTGTACCCCCAGGAGTTCCCTGGAAATGACCCCAGGGACTGCCCTAGAGACATTGCCAAAAAAGACGCCTTAAAGCTGGGATGCATCAACGCAGAATACCCTGACTCATTTGGCCACTACCGTGAGGCAAAGTTCTCCCAGACCAAGCACCATTGGTGGTGGAAGCTGCACTTTGTATGGGACAGAGTCCGGGTTCTGAAGGACCATAAGGGTCTGCTCCTTCTGATTGAGGAGGACCATTACTTGTCTCCGGACTTTATCCATCTCTTAAAGCTGATGTCAGCTCTCAAAAGAGAGCAGTGCACAGACTGTGACATCCTCTCGCTGGGGAGCTACAGCCACATCAGCTACTCCAGCAAAGCAAACAAGGTGGAGGTAAAAGTGTGGAAGTCCACTGAGCACAACATGGGGATGGCTCTGAGTAGAGAGACGTACCAGAAGCTTATTCAATGCACCGACACGTTCTGCACTTACGATGACTACAACTGGGACTGGTCCTTACAGCACCTGACTGTGTCCTGCCTGCCCACCTATTGGAAGGTCATGGTGTGTGAGGCACCCCGGATTTTCCATGCCGGAGACTGTGGCATGCACCACAAGAAAACCTCTTGCATGCCCATGAGCCAGAAAACCAAGATAGAAAACATCCTACAGAGCAGTGGGAACCAGCTGTTCTCAAAGAACCTCCTGATAGCAAAGAGACTGCCAGCCAATGGGGCCGGAGGGGTGGCCCCCCATGTGAAAAATGGAGGCTGGGGAGATATCAGGGACCATGAACTCTGCAAGAGTTATATTCGATTACAGTGACCTTAATTGCTACTCTTATATATTATTGTCTCTTTTGCATCCTCTCTAAAAAAAAAAAGCCTTTTAAAGTAAATCTTTATGGACTACTCTTCATATTGCCTGTTTTATTGGACTGTTCCAAATAAAGACGAATGTTGGAGTTTTGGCTTCTTTAATAGAAATATGTCTTTACACTCAGTTATAAGCAATTCCTTGCAAGTCACCTTTATTTTGTAAGTAGTAATTAACAGTAATATACTAAACAATATATTGTTGTTTTCTCTACCAAGGCTTTCAGGTTAAAATGTATATGGTTACTTTAAATCACCAAAAATATAGAATATCTCTTTAATAGTGGTAAATTGGGGAGGACAGGCAGTCATAAATTCGGTGAATATGTGGACTTAGCAAACCCACTGTGCATGCATAATTAATTTGAAGTTATTTATATCGTAAGTGTACGGATATCAAAGGAGATCCTTTGAGATACCTTGTTCCATTTAAATAATTTCCCACTTAGGTTATCCTCAACAGGTTTCTAGAGCAAACCAAGAGTCTCATTACTCCTGTGACAGCAAAACAGTAAGGTACTCGGCATTAATGAACATTAACAGTGATACTTATATGATAGGACACAGAAAGCACAAATGAAATTGCAGTGTTCTTCCGTTATGTCATGTTCACAGAGGGAATGTGTGGCCAGTTTTGTTTTGTTGTAATGCATCAATCTCCAGCTGAACAAGAGGTACAATACACCGATTCACACAACTGTCTCTTTGTGCTGTAATTTTGATTTCACATATAAATGCATGCAGTGCACCTTGCGAGGTCCCAGGGCGCTGGTATAATTTTGTTTTTCATATTGTTGCTATTGAAGATGCATTTACATTTTAAGTGCTTAGACCACAGCTTGGTATTGATGGTTTCCACTGAGGCTGCATTGATTTCCATCCCCACCCCATCAGCAATGTTTAACAGTCAGTCCTGCACACGGCACTGTTCAAAAACTGGAGTAACTGCAAGGTTCTCGCCAACTGGACACTTAGTGTCCTCTTGCAGGCCTTTCAGAGATGCTGCTCTCAAAACTCCAGAACACTGCATGAATTAAATATGAAATGCTTAATGTAAAGCATATTACTCTGCACACTTGTTCACTAAAACGTGTTCAGGACCGAGTAACACTGATGAAATCTAACAATACTTCCTCTGTGACAAACAGGCCACACAATCACTGCAGGCTAGAGAAGTCCACTTCATTTCCCCTCTGTGAACTTTAATTCCTAATACAGCGTGAAGATGTGACGCTTGAACTGCTGTGCTGAAGTCATGTGTCATGCAAGTCGTGCAGCTGCTCCAACAGTGTAGTAATTGGGCCTGCACCTCAAGGGAAACATGGCTTAGAATAGAATTGCAGAATAGGAGGAAGTGGCACTGAGCTCTTGACTCTTGGTGACTAATGGTTAACTGATGTCGGGAGTCTTTGAAAGCTCTGTGCTTAGTACTGTATATTTGAGGGCATGAATCAATAGGAAAAACACTTTTTATGTTGTAAATGAAATCTTTTATTGGCCAGTTATATGCACTGTCCATTAATCAGAACTTTAGGAATTTAGCACATTTTTACACTGAAACAAGAGCATCAGACTACAGACTAAAACAGATTAGATTATGAAATAGAGAAACAAATGGAAGTCACAACAGCAGTCATAAATTCTGTTTAAGACAAAGAAACAGGAATTACTTTTATCCAACAGGCAGAATTAAATTAAAAGTACGCCACAGCCTTAAAGTGTAATGAATGACTGAGATAGCCGCAGGCTTAACTGGTTCTCTGAATTATTTTGTTTTAACAGTAGAAAGTGATGACTTTCCTTCCTTTTTACCAGCAGTCAAATAACCTACTGCAAGCAAAATAAATCCTTTAAAAAAAGTCAATTCATAATTTTCAAACCATAGTTACAAATCAGTGGTGGAAGAAGTACTCAGATCCCTTACTTAAGTAAAAGTAACGATACAATAGTGTAAAAATGCACAAAAGTAAAAGTAGCCTAAAAGGGGAGCTGGTCAAGTGCTGTATATATGCCTGAATTACTGCTGGGTAGCTTGTGAATTTTCCACCGGAGATCAATAAACTCCTATGATTATATTGTAATTTTTGTATTAATTTGGTTCTGAAATTATAAAATAAATGTAGCGGAGTTAAAAGTCCACTATTTGCCTCTAAAATATAGTGAAGTTGAAGTATGAAGAAGCGCAAAATGTACCGAGTTACTTTCCACCACGGTTGCAACTACATAAATAATATCTACTGTCAACAGTTTAGCGACTAACTGACTGCTGCTAGCAACATGCTAGCCTCCTGTTAGCAAAAATATTTTGAAAAATGTCTCTACTTGCTCATCAAAACAGCAGATAGTTCAAACAATAGAGTATTTACAGTAGCAGTTAAAGAAGATGATATTTTGTTAAACAGCTAAAAAGGAGATGGAATATTGGATATTAATGAACTTGGTGACCAAAAACATGATTACTAACAAATGTTAATGCTGCTTTGTAATATTAGTAAGTGCTGATTATCACATTCATCATTATCCCTGCTTCCTAAATAAAGTCATTGCTTCATTTCTGATCTCATTACTGGTCTCAACAATGGCAAAATATGCCCATGGAACTGAAAACTAAGTTAATTTGATCATTTCCATAATCCACTGAAAAAGAAATCATCTGACTAGTGCTGTTTGTTAAGGAAATCCATCACTGACATTGGCTATCTAACAAGTGCAGGTCATGTTGCAGAATGAATTTTTTGTAATCATTTTCTCTGTCCAGTACCTCAGACTATTTGATTTTTGCCACACATCAAATACTGCTCATTATTTATGCTTACAGCTCTGGAGACTATTAATCATTTATAGCCACTGCACACATTGCTAGGTAAACAAAACTCTGGGTCAATATATGGAGGCACACAGGCAAGGGAATTGCATCACTCTTAGAATATGATTAAAGCAGGACCTTACATGAGCAATGGGAGTCTCTCTCTCTCAATATATTATTGAAATCCTATCAAGTAGGACCTATTTCCCCAAGGTTGTAAGATGAATGTAGCTGTTTTACAAACTCCTTACTGTATTCCACAGTGGTTTGGTTGCTATTGAAATGGCCACTAAAACAAAGTAGTTTTATGTTTGTGTAATGAATACATGTAGTAGACAGCATTACAGTTTAGAGACAGAAATAAACATAAGAGAATATATTAGTATTTTTATGTAAGATGTTTCTCTAAGTACTATTCCTGTGGGATATCTACTTAGCATTGATATGTGCATCCCAGTCAGGCAGAGTTCGTCATGCGGTCAGTGACACCCTGACACATTGAGCGGTCCTCCCCAGCCTGCTGATCACACTCGCCAGCCCCCTGCCCTTCACACTGATGCCACAGGCTGCTGATTTAATGGCTGTGAGTGCTCATGTTTCGTCTAAAAACGACTCATAAATTTTAGAGAAGCGGTTTTATTCCCCACTTGGAGTATGAAATATATATGAAGTAGTATGATTAAGTAGTAGAAATATATTTATTGGGGAGAGAGAGAGAGTGATAGAGTGAGAGATAAGGATACATACTGTATATAGACAGTGTTATCAAATGAAAGGTCACTGAATTTATGAAGAATTTCCAGTCTTTTGTCTGAGCAATACTGGCCCCTATTGGTTATCTGTAACCCAGACATGCAATATCAGGGTAAAAGGCATGTAGTAAGAGAGAGGTTTATGTGAAAGAGTATCTAAAAACAATGTTAAAATTTCAGAATAACTGACTGTCCCTGGTTGGTTTAATAACATGTCAGTAATATATAATTGCTTTGATAATGAAAAAGGTTCCACTGGTTATTGGCCAAATTCACAGACCATCCAAACTCATACACTGTCTGAAGTCAGCACCTACGAGCAGATGTTGCATACAGTTGTAGATAAAGGGGTGGCTGTGGCTTATAGGGGTGGCTGTGGCTCATGAGGTAGGGCAGTCGTCTCCTAACCAGCAAGTTGGGGGTTCGACTCCCGGTCTCTGTGCATGCCTAAGTGTCCCGGAGCAAGACACTGAACCCCAAAATTGCTTCTGGTGGCTTGACTAGCACTGTTGATCATCGGTGTGTGAATGGGTGAATGGTGTATGATCTTCTGTAAAGCGCTTTGGCCAGTGCAACACACTGTGAGAAAGTGCTAATAAAATACAGTCCATTTACCATAAACATACAGTTTTCCATTAACACAATAATACAAAACAAACTGTGATAGAATATAGTCTCCTTAATTATCTCATACCCATGGCACTGGCCTACAGGTGTTTCTACTTTGCCTAATTAGATCTCCTCAGATACTGGGGGTATGCAGATTGTCTGGTCTCACAGCAAACAGTCTTCTGACTCCTCTTGCTCAAGCACAGGTGTTACTAATAACATTAATGATGGCTCTGCTCTGTTCAAGTGTCCCAGTAGGTCATGACAGTGTGATAATGAGCCAGCATGAAGAATATCAGGAGCCTGCCGTAGAAGCAGCCCGATGAAATTCAGCCATCATTAATTTTATAATTTACTATGCTTTTCTTAGTGTGACATATCAAAATGTATGCTGGGAAAAAGATCCATGTGTGTCTTCATCATTTTATGCTCGTACTATTCTTATTAAAGGCCTTACACACAAGGTACATATTGCTGTTTTGGTGGGGAGTTTTCAGACTGCCTATCTTAGTTCTGTCCTGATTCCTTTTAGAAGCAGATTGCCTTCGAATTAGTCAGACTGAAAACACTTGAGTGGTGTCTTAGCAGGTGCACATAAAAATGTACATTTCAGTGTAATGCTACCGAACTAAATTACTGGGAGCTTTTGGATTACTGAACAGGCCTACTGGACGCTGGCCCTGGGGCCCAAGAGAGGATAGGCAGCCAGCATCTCATCTCCAGGGTGAACTAATGATGCAAGTTTAGCTGCGGCTTTCCAGCGAGCAACAGCACCTGAGAATTCTTCAATTGCAGAATGCCATTGATAAAGATTCAAAGAGACCACAAGGAAGTGCCAAGTGATACAAAACTACAAAAAGATGTGAAACACAGGTACAAAATGACCACAAAGACTCACAAACAACTACAAAAATATGTAAAATGATCACAGAAAGACAAAATAATCTATCCATGCATACAATATCATACAGACCTGGTGTTAGGTCTTGTTCAGTTAGGTGGGTAGACTTTTCATTACCCATAACTAGCACTGATGGAAAGGAACTAAGTACATTTACTCAGGTACTGTACTTGCGTTTTTTCACTTTGTGCTACTTTAATACTTCAACTTCACTATTTTAGAGGCAAATATTGTACTTTTTAATCCACTACATTTATTTTATAACTTAATGTTACAAAAATGGAGTCATGTGCGGAGTACTGTATGGACGCTTTATAAAAGAGTAACAAATGGAACACGTAGTCTGTCAAAGCTGTTTTTAATAGGCATCACATGGAGGAAAAGGGTTCACTCTTCCTATGTGGGTGCTTGATTAAACACCATTACTTCATCCATTTACACCAAGCGCTGACAGTTTTGCCAGCTGGTATTCAACACAGTGTCAAATGTTTGTTCACAAGTTCAGCATCAGTTCCGTAATTAATACTCACAATAGTCACAGACTTCAGCCCTGTCTGCAGAACATGGTTGTCAGTCTTTATTTATTAGTTGAAGTAAATTCACACGCATGTTGATGGGTGGAACTTGTGCTAATGGGTGAGGGGAACTCTGCCGTTAGTCTTCCTGTGGTTTACCTGAGCTCAAAGTGATGGCTGAATTACTCTGTTGCATCTGCACCTACCTGCCTATGTTGTAAAAGGAACCTGCACTGACAGGCTAACTAGCATTCAGCACTACCTGTTAGATAAGAGGATTTCATAGACATCTCCTATACCAAACTTCTCAATAATAAAAATACACCTGAATTTTCTTTATGTACAACAGAAAAGAAATGTTTTCACCTGCATATTCAAAATTCATTTTAATATTAGATCTTCTATATTAGAAATATCACTATTTTCTGAAATCTGAATCTTTCAACTATAATCATTTCACCCATAAATCACTGAAATACAATATTTACATATAATACATCCCATTTAATTTGAAACAATATTAAAATAAATGCTCAATAGATACAAAGGCCTTTAATTCTATTTATATTTCAACCTTGTCAAGGAGTCCTTAGACACTCCAAAAATGTAAAGCCATTCTCATCTAACAAACTATTAAGTGCAAACAATTTTTTTTCCATATAAAAACTATGATTGCAGCATCCAGCTTTGAGAGAGGGCAATAACACGCCGCTTCCCCCAGTGCTTCCAAAACTGTCGTCAAAATGTTTTGCTAGTGTTCCGCTATCATGAATTCAAAATGAGAAAAAAAAAGAAGAAAAAAAACCCCAATAATGTTAGACAATCTGTGCAAAACACACTTAAGTGTGATACCTCTGGTTAAAATATCTGTTAAGGAAGTAAAAGACTCCAGTCTCTCTTCAGCAGATTTTTGATAACATTGGCTGCGCAAGGTATCGCCCAGGTTAAAAAAAAAAAAGGGGTGGGGGGGGGGTTTGGAAATGGGGATATTTCACAGCTCTAAAACAATCCCTCAAGCAACTAAATATTGTCCAAATCCCCCCCGGTCCACACAATAAAAACAAAACCAGTTTGAGGCATCTTGTCTAGTCTTTAAACATCTACAGGCACAAAGCATTGGGTACTAGTTTAACTGCAGGCTAGACATGACTTGATTCAACCATAGGTGAAACACTGAGAAACTTAACCCCTCCCATAAACCTCCTGGATGATTTAAAGCTTGCCCTCCTACTTCCACCCTAGCACCCATTTCATCCCCAGACAAACGGGGTCAGGTTTCTCACCCTAGTTTGGCCAACGTTGGTTCTCTAAATGTTAACAGTAACAGAAAGAGCACATCTGGGTAGCTGTAGTGATGAGAATGAAGGTGACACTGGAGGTCATGTGGTGTGTGACAGTGTGTGAAGAAGCGCTGCAGGGCCTAGGCCTTGGTCATTCCAGTCTCTGTTACATGGAGCTGTCATTAGCAGCACCAGCACTGGGGCTATACTACTGTTCCACTGGGGGAGTTGGCTGGGTTGTTTTGAGATGATAGCAATCCCTGTGGAAGAGACAGATAACACACATTGAAAGCAAACAGCAGTGTTGTCTCAATGTAATTAAAAGGGAAGAGGAGTTAGGCCATGAGGTTTACTGTAGGAGATGTGCTATGACTGTAACCATACAAATGCTAAAGGTTTACCATAACTCTAGCATGAAATAATAAAAACCCGTGGCTGCATACAAAGGCGTTATTAGCTTCTGAATGCAGCAAGACAATGTCTGTACTAGAAAACAATGTTAGTTAAGAGGTGTCACATGACAGTATCCTCGAGAGGCCTGTCACTCACCACTTTCCCAGGCCTAGCCCATGTGCAAATGAAACCCTCCTGACAGGCTGTTACCAGACAGTCCTCCAGGAAGATTAACACAGTGAGTCTCTCGTGAGCAATCTTCTTACACACCAGTGGCTCGAGTAGCGGCACCTCCTCCATGCATGGGCACAACCTAGTGCCTAGAGTCTTAGCTGCGTCAGCTTTTGCAGTCCGTGATGCGCTAAGCTGGTTGACTTTGTCACCGCTCTTGCTGCTGATGTGACCTATGCTGTGGTTTCGTTTGTGGTCCTTCTCGTGCCGCTCCTTGCGTGACTCGTGTAATGACAGTGTTGCAAACTTGCTGACTCCAGTAGCTATGAAAGCACTGTCAATGATACTGTTGCTCTTGGTGGTGCTGCTGCTATTGCTGCCTGTGTGGCTGTTGGGGGTGCTGCCACCTGCTGGGTTGGACGAGTATGGCAGGCTATTGGACCGAGGCAGGGTGTTCGGGAGGGAGTTAACTGGGTTACTACTGGAGCTACTATTGCTAGCATTGTCTTTACCATTGGTGCCACTGGGAATATTGGTGGTGGTGGACTCAGTAATGGTAGTTTGTCCAGTGGCTGAAGGGCTTGAGGCACTCATAACATTAGTGTGAGTCCTAGTGCGAGATAATGGGAGGTGAGGGAAGAGAATGTCCTCTGTAAGGTCCCACAGACACAGCTGGGTATCCTGACCCACTGAGCCAAATCTGTAGGTCACACTAACAGGCCTACTATCTGTAGAGTTTCTTTTAGAAAGCCGAGAATGAGCGCTGTTAGCTCGGTCTCTGCCTGCACCAAAGGGAATCTGCTCATGGAAGTCCTCGTCACTACCGCTAAATTCAGCAGGGGGGTCACAGTCCTCCACACTGGTGGTACAGTGGTCAAATGCAACCACACTCACCCACGACTTGTGTCCATGTCCCCGCGCAATCACTCTGCAGTCTGAAAATGACCACACCGTCACCAGGTCATCCTCCCCTCCTGCCACAATATATCGTCCGTCTGGGCTCCAGCACACACACAGTAAGCCACCGAAGTAGCTCTTCATTGTTCCGTGGAGCTCTGCAGCATCAAAACCAAATACCCGCAGGAAACCATCCTGGCTCGCACAAGCCAGAAACTTGCCATCTGGAGAGAAAGCAAACTCATTGAGGGCACCTTCACCCACTGTCCAGCGTAACAACGGGTTACGGGCTGACTTGCTCTTGCAGGTGTGCACAGCATAGTTTTCACCCTGCTTAAGGAGTTGGTAGTGAGGTGCAGTGGTGCCACAGGTGTTTTCTGTGTTGTACAAGTACATGTTGCCACTGGAGTGAGCCACCAGAAACAGACTTTCTGAACCAGGAACCCATCGTACACATGTTACTCTTGACTTGTCTATAAGTCTCTGGGGGACAGGGAGAAACAAAGAGAAATTAGTTATTCGATTACTGCTTCAATAGTAAATTCAGTGGATTAACTACAATATAATGGGTGATTAAATACTAAACAGCAAAAGCAAGCAGTAGTCTTCAAAACAATCTTGACCAGAACCCACCTCTTCATTGAAAAGTTTACTGGTTTCCTTCTTTATTGGGTCTATGAGCTGCACTTGGCCGGCTGAGAAACCCACCAGCAAGGAGACGCTCTCCGCTGTAGCTGTGAATGGGTTGAAGTCATGACATGTGGGCTGCGTTCCTTTGTATATCCTTTTGTCTACGGGCTTACTAAGATCAGCAGCCTAGAGTGACAACAAATATACACAAATAAGCCCATCTTTGATTTGTAGGAACAAAGCAAAAAAAATCCTGTAATTGACTTGATTTGGCTTCTGTTTACTTTGTTCAAAAGTCTACTGTAACAGCTACCTTAAGACAGTACCTTGACTTGAAGGTGACCTTTAATACTTTACTCCACAACTGAGCACTTCCATTTATCTGCTTTTCTCTCTTTCTCTAAAGATTTCTTTAGAGAAAATTTGTTCACCCACAGTAACGAAAATCAAGCTAATAAATCCCAGGTCAGTACTATAGTAATAGGTTCAACTTTTAGTTTACAGAGAACATAACCACTTCCTTGAACTGAAATTGCTCAGTACTTGCTGGGGACAAATACCTCAGGAGCTTTGTTGGCTGTCACCTAATCTTTGTCGGTGTCTACAAAGTGCCAGCCCTGTGATCCTGGTGCATTGTGAAATATGGGAAATCGCTGTTTAAGCAAAGAGGAAACCCGCTTTAACCAGACAATGTGGCTGTCTTCAACAAAAGATAGCACATCATTTAAACATGACACTGTCAAGCTTTAAATTATTAAAATGTGCCTGAGTCAAAGTTACTCAAGAGGATGCCATCTATTTTCCCAGACAATCTGACAAAACTTTAACCTTGTAAATGTGTATCCTCCCTGAGAAAGTCAGAACAAACCTGTTAACCTGGCAGGAATAAATCTGGCATTGGACCAATGAATATTAGATTTTTGCAGCTTTGCTTTATTGCTGCAACCCTCTTGTGGTTTATTCTGGTTCAGTAAAGGAGGCAGAGAGAAAGCTGTTGGGATGTAGCTATATAACTGTCAGTATTGTCAGAGCAAGGGAGCTCTAGAAAAAATAAGGCCCTTTGGCAGACTTTGACATTTCAAGTGCTACAATGATGATCAGCTTGCCCTGTATGCCAGCAAATATTATATGCATTCTTGAGACTTCATTAAAATCATTCTATCATAGCATCGCAAGTGAGACAGCTCAAAGACCAGTCTAAATAGTACTGGTATAACGGACCCAAGACTTGCTCGGATCTAGATTTTGTTTTTTTCTCTGTCCACTTCAGTTGAAAATAGTAGGCATAGATTTGGGAAAATCAGCTACTCTATGAAAAGCCACACAACAGTAATAATTTAAATACAAGTCAGTGGGCTTCACACAAAATAAAAACTTGTCCAACTACCTGCATCAACAGTGAGGCTTGAAATCTTTTTTTTTTTTTTTTTTTTGTGCTACTCTGACTCTGATCTGGCATATACAGCAAGGCTCCCCATTTTCTGCCACACTCATTTGTTGTACTACTGCAGCTAGAGGCCATGCTAACTCATTATTGAACTCAAAGTCTACTTCAACATGTGGACATTTTACTCACTTTTTTGTTAATGGGCCAATTTAAAATACTGCAAGACAAAAATGGTCAAAGATGACACAGTTGCCATGACTTTTTTTATAATATGAGCTGTAGGGAACAGGCAACAATTTCATTTTAACCAGTATCCCATATTTCTCTACATGGTGCTTCAAGGGGTAAAGCAGGTTTTCTTAATTACAGAGTTGGTGGCTCAATCACTCTGAAGTGTCACTGGAAAAAAAAAAATTCAGCTGAACCCTATATTAATCCTGTTGGCCAGGCTATAGCACCTTGTGTGTGTAAGGATGAATAAGAGGCTAATGTAAAGCATTTAATCCATACTGTCTGCTTCCAAAACTAGCAATGTGTCATTCTTAAGGCAATTAAAACTATATAACATACACACAATGTTTAAAATTCTGTTGCCGAATTTACTATTGTATTACATTATATCGCACCATAGGATAATATAGACCTGCATAAAATACACAATAATAGTAAGGTCACAATCTAGCCAGGTATACTAGAGCATATTTACTTGGAACACTCCAAAATCAAACATTCTTATAACACCACATTTGACTGGGTTGATTGTAAGTCTAGAGAAAGTCACAAAGAACTAGATACTAGAGGAAAATTACACAACCACTGCAGTAAAGCTATTTCTTACTCTCGTTGTTTTTGCTATTATGTAAACCTGCGACTCACAGAATTGTACTTTCAACCAGGTATATCCACAATGGGGAAACTAATGATCGCATTCTCATTTTGGGGCCCAGGCTGCTATTGTAAAACTGCATATTCTCTAGCTGCCTCGGGAACAATCACATAATCAACATGACCAGCAGTGCCAGAGTTTCCTTGCTACACAAGACCAAATGTGACTTGCTGCAGTGACATCATCACAGTACAGTACAACCCAACAGTGATACACAGTGCATCACATCCAAAAGAGTGAGTGCACCCATCATTAACTCACGAATAACAAACACTCCTCACGTCCGGTCCAGTAACTTAGCTTGTAATTTGAAAACTTTGTTCTGTAATTGCAACAACAAACTTGACATCGCTGTTGAGCTGTTGGCAAAACGAGGATAAACAAACACGAGACATGACACAACACGTTATCCTGTTCACTGGAAAACCGAATGTCTCAGCTTGTCAGACTGACAATTCAAAATAACTGGCAGACTCTAACGTGCACACAAGTTTCATCGAGGCAAAACCGAAAACTGTGGCGACGTTAGCTAAAAATGCTAATTAGCTTCTAACTTAGCTAGGTCTGCTACATGGCCTTGTCCTAACAATCTGCGCACTTCAGTGCCAAAAAGCCCAGATAGTTGACAACCAGGTTACATCACGTTTCAAGATGCTAAATCAATGAGCTGCCCCTGGACAGAGTTGGCTACGTCGCTACTACAATGATGTTTACCTTTCTCACGCCTTTGTATATATAAAAGTACAGTTCCCGGCCCACATTGAAACAAATCCTTTCGCCGTTGCCGGATTGATCGTTTACATTGACGAAGGAGACCTTGACAGGATTGAAGCCCTGGGAGTTGAAAGGCACCCTATTCGGGCGGCTGTATTCAGATTGAGTGAGGAGTTTGTAGACGCCTTCCCGTGTAGTGAACTGAGTTTTAATTTCGTTTATCTCCTTCCCTCCTCCCTCCGCCGCCATCTTGGAAATTGGCGTTCATCCTTGTCCGAACCCCGGATGTTACCGACATCGCATGCGTTGGGCTGTTCAAGTCCAGCAACCATGCGCAGAAAGAAATATAAAGTCATGTGAGATAAACATAAACTTTTAAAATTGAAAATACTGACATGTTATACAACCGAATATTAAAAAGTGGCTTACAGGAAATATCCATTTAATGATGAGACAATTCTGAGCAGAATACAGATAAAGAACTATCTGAACAGGTGATGTTTGTCTAGAATAATTTATGAAAGAACAGAATACAGAAAAGGGGGGGGCAGCAAAAGGGGCATGACAAGGGGTTATTTTAACTTAGACTGAATTTGATTAATAATTAATTAAGATTTAGAGCATGGATTTTATTCATCTTTTCCAAGGCTTTAGTCTATGATAAGTATTTGACATGTCCAGAAAGAGGGTGATTTAGAATCTTTATATTCGTGTATGAAGTTTTTCATTACCAAGATAATTAAGGATTTTACATTTTGAACTGACTCACCATCTTAGTCAAACTATTTAAGCTGAGGGGAACCTGGATCTTTGCCTCAGAAAACAGGCCTATCAACTTTCAGATATTGCAACAGTTCTCCACCTTTCTCAGTTACATAACAGTCAGCTTCTAGTAGGGTCTGCCTTCAACTGGGAAAAATTGGATTAGGTACAAATCCATAGCAAGTGTAACATACTGCCACCCACTGGTCACCTCTAGTCATTACTATCCACATCACACAGCACCAGAAAGTTATAGTCTATCTTATACAAGATTACGTTTACTGC